GTTTTACACTAGATAGAATCGATTTTTGAAAGTGAAGACCTTTTTTTTTGCTCTTCAAATTCGAAATTGCGGATCACCCCCCCCCCCCCTCCCGGTCAGCAATTTTTTTCGGGAAGAAATTAACACTAGATAGAATTGATTTTTTTGACCCCCCCTGAATTTTTTGGTGTCAGAATGTATGATTGAGCTACACAGACCCCCATACGAACATTATTGCAATTTTCATTTGAGCGCATTTTTACCTTGTAAGGTGATTATACCAGGATTTTATTTTGTTCCTTTTCAGCACATGAACTGGTGCCGTAAAGTCATACCAAATTACTCAAGTATTTTAGATAATGCTACTTTTTTCCGCATTTACTTTCTGTACATCATTCAAAATATGAGCCACCACTCGCTGTATTACCGAACTCATTCAAAATAGAGGTCGACTGTCGTTTCAATACAAAACCAAAACCATGAATTCCCACCCTTGATGCATAATTCTGTAGTCGAGAAATTCCATTTTCATTAAAATCATCATTTTTGTATTGTAAAATCCAATCTGTTTCGAACGAATGTATATTAGCAAGGAGCACTTCATGCTGGCAAAAAATGTGGCTACAGTTTCCCTGTTCCATACAAAAAATATGATGGCATATCTTTTAGTGAGACATAAAAGAACGCAAGTTTGTCCAACTTCGTAGCAATAAAGAGAAGTATGTTTCATTGCAACTAATAATGGTTAAAAGAATGTATGTTCGTTTTTGGCGGGTCCTCGCGGTTTTTCACGGTTTCCGCGGAACTGATAAGAGATGACAACTTGGTGTCTTCGGCAAAGTTGTAGAACTCGAGGTCTTCTATAACATTGCTGAAGACAGTTATCTCTTATCGCTTATCAGTTCCGCGAAAAGCGCGAAAAATGATAAGAAAAAAAAAGTTCTATACAAAATTTGCTTTTTCATGTGCACGATTTGCGCGCAACTGATAGAAATTCAGAGAGATAAGAGTTACCTGCCTTCAGCAATGTTATAGAAGACCTCGAGTACTACAACTTTGCCGAAGACACCATTTTGTTATCTCTTATCAGTTGGCCGAAAACCGTGAGGACCGCGGAGGCTAGACGGTGCTACAACATACTTTCTTTTAACGCAGATAGAATCAACAGAAAACATACTTTCCTTTTCAAAAATATTAATCGAGAAAAAACATACGTTCTTTTACGTCTCACGAATAGATATATTATAACGAGCTAAAACATTATAAAATGTAATCACGAACTTTGGTTTGGTCAAAATTGATGTCATGTTTAGACTTGACGTGTAGGAACATTTCTCACGAGAACAGTCTCATATTTTTCTGCTGTTTGAGACATCAGCCGAAATAAACTGTCAAAAATTACTCGAATGGTGAATTATTTATAAAACTTTCTTTAACAAGCGAATTTTTGAACTCGATTTGGCATGCAAGGAAATTGTTTGCAGTTGATTTGATTCGGTGCAATGACAAGCGATGAATTCAGCAAACGTTACATGTTGCATAAGGGACTATTCACCTCGGAAGAGTTCGAAGATATTATGCTTTCATTAACGGCAAGGGAATATGAACCGAAAATATTCAATCGAAATCCAAGACTCAGGGACTTCATATGGGATACAGCTCATGTTTTGCAATGTCCAAGGAAAGCTGCTTGCTTCTACACCTCAGGTTCGGAAAAGTACATAAACACTCAAAAAGTAACAACTTTTTCATCGAATAAAGATGTGTTGCTGGGAGAGATTCAAGCTGCACACACACACAATGGTTCATCTGAAATAGTCGGAACTGAGGTCGAAGTAACTATCACCGAACGCACCGACATTACATTTCAATCAATCGAATCGCCAAAAGTTCTTTATGAAGGCACATCTAATACATGGTTTGGTGATAATCAGCTGAAAGTGACTTTGACACAGCCAATTCTGATTAAGCCTCAACGTATTTATGAAGTTCGTTTGGCAGTTCGATCACTCGATGGAAGCTACTACTTCTCAGATTGTCAGCCAATGGTGGAAATGGATGACGGAATAAAAATTCAGTTTCATCGAAATCCAACCCTGGACTACGATAACCTTGCGAATGGCTGGATTTCTAAATTGATCTTCAACAGCGTTTAAATTTGAATTGGAATTGTCGAAGAAGAAACAATAGATAAATGAATTCGACAAAATATTCCAGTCTAATAAATCAAATTTCAGTTTGAGCAGTATACAATAAAATCAATTGTTAATCAAACCTACAAAATTCCCTTTTCTTCGTCTTTGTTTAAAATTTTGGAAATAATTACAATGGAAAACAAACGATATGTGGCGAAATATATTGTTATTTATTTCATTTACGTAAGTATTGCTCTTCGAGTATTCTTTCTTAGGTTTGATTAGGAAGAGTCTCAGAAGTTAGTTTATCATTTACTTTCATAATGTGAGCCATAAGTTATGGCCCACAGCATGGTTTATAAATGAACTCATTCAAAATGGAGGTCGGCTGTCGTTTCAATACAAGACCAAAACCTCAATTCATCATTGATGCATAATTGTGTAGTTTAGAAAGTCAATTTTCATTGAAATCATCATTTTCGTATAGTAAAATCCAATCTGTTTGTAACGTTATGAATGTATTTGCAAGGAGAATTTCAGGCTGACAAAAACTGTGACTAAAATTTTCCTGTTTCATACGTTAAACAGGATGACATATATGGGCAAAATTTTCATTGTAAAATGTTATCACAAATGTTGATTTGGTCGCAGTTGATGTCATGTTTAGATTTGGCGTGTAAGAACATTTTTCACTGGAGCAGTCTTATATTTTTTTGCTGTTTGAGACATCAGCCGAAATAAACTGTCAAAAATTACTCAAATGGTGAATCATTTTTGAGATTATATGCAACAAATTATGTTTTTAATGTGAAAAATGTTATTTCTTCATTCGGAATAATTTGAAATCAATGAAAAATGGTGCGCAAAAAACACCAACATAATGATACAAGGGAATTTGGAATATAAAATGCGCACACAGCTAACGGGTCAGTTTTGTTCGTAGCTCATTTGATGCGGTCGGTGAAATCACGCACACACTTGTGTCGTTTTATGTTTCCATGTTTCTCCTTCTTCTACTCCGCTATGTAAACTGTTTCGTGTTCACCACTACATTTACACATTTTTAATGGCGCAAAAAAACACACACTCTACAGTTGGTCGATTCGCGCTACTTTTGCATCAGTGTATCAAATCCACTTATTACTTGTCAAACTCTGGAGATAATAGCTCGGATTTTCAAGTGTCACATACAATATTCGTCTTGAAAACATTAAAATAGAATTTGACGTTTCAATTTTTTCTTGTAATTTAATTGCTATACAATTACCATACGTTTTACACAATCGATTTAATCTACGGTTAAAATGGCAAACGTGTTGAAAAGTATCGCTGCATCGGAGTTGATCGCAAAGATGTACCTCAACGAGCGTTTGGCCGACGTTCATTTCGAGTCGATGACGAAATTCAAAAGGTTCCAGCAAACAAAAGTGTGTTGGCAGCTCTAAGTCCGGTATTTGATACGATGTTCTTCGGATTGTTGCCAGAAAAAGGAGACGTTCCCATTCCCGATGCGGATGCTGAAGCGTTCAAGGAGTTTCTCCAGTTGTTCTACCTGGGTGAAATGACTCTGACCATGGAAAATATCGAGACCGTTGTTCGTTTGGCCGACAAATACGATGTCCTTGAACATGTCAACGCATGCGCCGTGTCCCTACAAAGCCAACTGACATTGGACAAAATGTGCTGGGGATATCAATTGGCCGTAAATCTCCAAAATGAAGAACTGATCAAGTTCTGTGAGGGAAAAATCATCGATTCGCCAAAGGAAGTCTTTGGCAGCGATGTATTCAAGCGTTGTGACAAAAGTACTCTAAACCGGACTTTGGGGCTGGGTTTGATCTGCAACGAAGTCAACGTGTTCGATGCCTGTTTGACATGGGCTAAACACGCATGCGAACAAGACGATTTGGATGGAACTCAAGCGGTGAATTTGAGAAATCAACTCGGCGATTGTTTGAACTTAATTCGATTTGGCTCGATGACAAGCGATGAATTCAGCAAACGTTACATGTTGCACAAAGGACTATTCACCTGGGAAGAGTTTGAAGATATTATGCTTTCATTAACGGCAAAGGAATATGAATCGAAAATATTCAATCCAAATCCCCGACGCTACAAAGGGGATACAGTTAATATTTTGCGATGCAGGCGCAGAATCGATCGTAGCTACTACATATCAGAAACGCAAAAGTATATAAAAACTTCAGAAGTAACTTCGTTTATATCGAATAGTCTCGCTTTACTGGGGGCAATCCACACTGCATACACACACAACGGTTCATCTAAAATAGTCGGAACTGAGGTCGAAGTAACTATCACCGAACGCGAAGATCTCACGTTTCATTCAAATGAACCGCCGAAGATTCTTTATGAAGGCAAAATATGAATACGTGAAGATAGCTTGTGGATAGTATTTTGTGAAATGTTATCAAAATTTTCATTTGGTCAAAGAGAACGACGAAACTTTGTGTCTTGCTTGGATTGGGCATGGAAAATGAACATATCTTACAGAGACAGTCTTATATTTCCCTACTGATTGAAACACCAGCGGAGATAAACTACCAAACAAAAATGATTCGATTGGTGACTCGGTTTTACAGAACCATTAAGTGTATACACACACAAACAACATGCTGATATAAGGGAATTTAGAATCTGAAACATTCAATTTCGTTCATAGCACATTCGATGCGATCGGCAAAATCATGCATACACTTGTGTCGCTCTGTGTTTTGATGTTTCTCCTCTTCTGAATGAACAGCATTGTGTTCACCACTACATTTGCACATTCTCAATGGAGCGAACAAACATACATTTCTTTTTCTTCACAAATCGACACATTACATGTCAATTGAAATCAGCAATTGTTATGATTGAAAAACTTACCAATTTCATTTTCTGAGATTCTGTCATTGAAATATTGATCAATTGCATCGAGATTTGTCGATGCTTTTTTGGTGTCTTGACTGCCAACCACCGCTTTTAGCTGTTCGCAATACAAAATTACGTCACTCGACATTTTAATTTCAGAACTTGATCACTTCATTCGGATTTAATGTCACTTTTCAGTTTTTAACACTTAAATTCAGAACAATAACACGAAAACGATAACTTAACGACAACAAATACTTATTTTAACGCAAACAAAATGTTGCGAAATACGTGCGCTATGCTTTATTTTGCCGGTCACTATGTTGTTTACAAAACACGCAATTTCAGTCGCTAGAGTATGTGTGCATATGAAACAGCTGTCAATGTAGCTGTCAGTTGAATTTGAAACTGGGACAGTGAATCGAAACATTCACCATTCACCATTCAATGAATGATTTTTGCACTTTTTTATTGTGGAAATTTCTTTTTTATGGAAATTTATTGGAATCATCTTTCAAATGAAAAAAATCCAGATTTAATGTTGAAACAAATTAAATTTTTCTCATTTCAAACTTCCATTCGCCCATATTCCAATACTTCTCATTTTCATCCTCACTCCCTTCGTCGACAGATGGCGTTGCTATTACATTAGAAGAACTGTTCCTCTGAAGGAACATTCGCGAGTGTAAGGCTACTATTTTCAAATTAGAGTGGCGTTCATACATTCAATGGAGATTTCATTGTAAATAATTTAAACCGTTGGCAATCGGTTCACTCTCCGAGTGTACAACCAGTTCGTTAAGTACAATTATAAAGAAAAAACGTAACACTGAAAATAAATGCAATAATTGCTGTGCCATTGAATAGACAAAAATTCATATATCCATATTTAGAATTGATCCAATGGAATTCGCCTCAATCAATTTTTTCATCATTTCGTTAATTTTTTTTGGTATTTTTTCAAATGAAAATGTCTGTTCACTTACAGTAGCCATCGAGAGAGTTATCTCCATCAAAACCATGAATGTAATTGAAGTTAATCATTTTTTAAGTGATTCCGATAGCAAAATTATCATTTCAATTAGAAATTAATTGAAAGTACTTTGGTTCAAATGTTGAAGTCATTATATCCATAAGTTGAATGAATACATTATTGAAATTGGTTTGTAAAAAAAAAACTAAAACTGCAACCAATTTTGTTTTGTAAAATCGTATAGACATGAAGTTGTAAAATTGAGAGCTGCTCTTGACATTGTTCAATAAAAATAACTACCAATCTGGCAAAGAATTTCGGAGCCAAACACAAATGATTATGCATTAGCGGATTCGATACTGAATTGTGCTACAAACACACAAAAAAACTCCAATGCAGAAGTCATATCACAGTATGCTTGTAACGTTGTTCGAATTTGAGTGAGACATTTTCCGTTTTCGGTGCACAAGTCTGCAGTAAGTGTCTATTTATTCCAACAACGTCATAAGTATATACGCCGGCAAGCAGACGGTCTGGCAATAGCGGAAGAACATTCGACAGAATCACTTCACAACACAGTCACATGTTGCTTCTGTTGATCAGCTGTAGTTGACTGCAAAACCGAAATCCATCAAAAACAGCTGAACAAAATTTGAAAAATAATAAAATTGTGTCCACAGTCGACAAACATATTGAGTGGTCGTCAGCGAAACGATTTGGCGCAGCATAAGAGCCAGCACAAGCGAACACCTACTCAATTTGTTGTTATTCATAATCTCTTTATCGGCAATTGAAAGAATGTGCGGTGCTGTGTTTTTTACGATTTTCTTCCGTTTCTTTTTAAGAAACACTTGAGATGTTTCATGTGAACATATGCGGTTCCATTCGGAATTTCAACTAATTTGGAAGCACGTAAAATGAATAATTTGTCTTTTCTGAGTCCCGAAACAGTTACATTTGAACCTTAAGTGGATTTAGTCCAATTACTATCAACAAATGTTCATTGCTATGGTTTTTGTGGAATGATCTTGTCAAGCCATATTTTAAATAGCTCTGACAAAATGCTCTCAAATATGTGATTGCTCTGTGTTTTATTTGAATTTTGATTCTTCAGCGAAAAAAAAACTTGTTTCTTCCAATATGTGTGACTTATATTGTCTCTTTAGCATAATTTCCATTCATTCATTTCCCTTCTGTCCAACTTTTTCTACTTTAAACCAGAGGTGCAGTTAGATCATAAAATCGTTCAAGAGAAATGTTGTTTCCTTTTCTTGCATAGCCAGCCCAAAAAATTATCTCGTAATATTTTCGAACAAGGTCGATTGCTAAAAGAAAACGCACTAATATTCTGGTCACTGAACACAAGAACTATTTCACATGCTTTCTTTACATTTTCTTCGTGACACTTTTATGATTCTGGTCGCAAAAAAGTGCCAGCAAATAGCAAAAGAAGGAAAAGAAAATTGTAGAGAAGAAGTGATAAAATGTCGATTACTTCGCAGAATTGCCTATGAATGGAGATGTTGCGATCCAATACATGAATTTAATGTTAGCATTGAAAAACCATCGTCATCTCGAAAAAAAGTCTAACAAAATGTTTCATTTAAACTAATAGTTCAAATAATTCATTCAAATTAGGACTCGAACTTAATACCCATTTCCTCGGCGGATCGATCGTTTTTCTTTGTTCAATCAAATTCCCCTGTTTTCAAAATGTCAATAAATTCAATGTCATATTTCTCTCGATCCGACCAAAATGCGGTATTCCTTTTGGTTTTCTCTGAGATTATTTATTGTTGTGTGTTTTCATGTCAAAGCACACTGGCCCGTTGAGTGCGCCTGCTGTGCATCCGAAAGAAATACAACACCAAAAGTCATCGTTGACAACATTATTTACGAGTGTGTGCTGTGTTTAGTGTCGTCACTTCGGCTTTATTTTCATCTTCATCGGGATTGAGACGTCCTGCGCGACAACATGGAGATTTATTCTGTACTCAGCCGGACTGAGTTGGACTGAGCAGAGCATTTAAAGTGAAAATCCGTGGTGAAACAAAACAAAGAGCCTCAAATAATTGTAAACAGCAATTTGTGACGGTAACCGACATTTCTTTTGAGTGATCGGTGTGCGTTGGTTTGGTTTTCAGTTGAAGCGATACCAATTTGCAATTCGATATAGTCAATCGGACGATGGCAAAAAGGAGCCAACCGAAACAAGTAGTTTGTCATGTGCAATGCACGTTGTGCATGGTAGGCGATTCTCAAGACTTTGTTCGTTTTCGCATAGTTTTTCATTCAAAAGCGTATTGCAAAGCCATATTTTCTTTGACCTCATTGTTTTTCAGCAGAATGTTAACCAAACATTTCATTCATAGATGTGTGAATGTTGTCATTCATATTTCTTCCGAAACACCATCAAACTTCACACTATTTTTCAAGAAGCTTCAAAGAGTAGGTAAAATATTTATGTTCCGCTTCATCACATTTGTCATATGATGCGAATGAGAAGACTGAGTCCGGAAGAGTTTTAGTTTTGGGTATGCGTTGATGAATGTGAAGGTGAGGAAATAGAAAGATTTCTTCAAGCGATGATTCCAAAATGTGATTAATTGACAAATGAGATGAGTTTTGCATTAGTTTTCACAGAAGGGTCAAGATGAATGGACGAGCAATTGAAAGAGGATACGTAATTTTGTAAATTCTTAAACATTTAATAGAAAGTAAATTTTTCACTTTTATAAATCATTTTTAAAACTTAACGAAATATTTACAATGATATTAACACAGTACTAAGAATTATTCAAAATAATAACTATGCGTATGGCCGAAACAATTGTGCAAAGTCCATTCTATCGAGTGTCGTTGTTAAAGGCGATGAATCGGGCGAATGTAGCTGACTTTGAATGGTGACAGGGTTCCGATGTGGAATCTGATATGGAGAGTATCGATAGCCGTATGCGTAAGCATTCACGGCAGCCGATGGGATTTGCGTTGCTGGAGGGAACACCGGCATTTGTGGGATCATCGGGGTTGGAGCGTAGTATGGCATGCTGACTGAAGTGGCCGCTGCTTGAAGCAACGAAGCAGCGAATGTTGGATCGTTGTAAACAGCTGCGATTGGCCAATTGAGCTGGCGTTGGCGTTTGTCTTTCATGCGTCGGTTTTGGAACCAAACCTATTGAATAGAACAAAAGATATGCGTTCCTTAGTAAAGATGCAAATCATAAATTATGAATTGAATAAATAAACTATTGTACAAAAAATTTAATATTCGCGAACTAAAGCTATATGTTTAGCATACCAATTTTGACAAAATCATCAAATGTGTTCGCAATTTAAATTTTAGAGTTGATTTTTACTAAATCAAAAGCTCTTGGTTTTGTTGTTTTGAAAATACAGGATTAAAACCAAAAACACACCTTAATTGTTGATTCCGAAATTTTTAGTTGGACGGCCAATTCCCGGCGACGTGATGGTTGTATATACATTTTCTTATCAAACTCCTCTTCCAAAACTGTCAACTGCTCACGGCTGAATGCAGTTCGAGCACGACGGCATGATGAATCCAATTCACTGTTCATAACCATTTTGGCAATAAAATATTTTTCACAAGTAAATAGAAGACGACACAAAATTCAAGACAGGTAAGTCGTTTGCAAGTTTCGTTGTTCGAACTGTCGGTAAAAACAAATGGAAGGACAAGAACGAACTGCTCAGGCAAAGACTGAAATGAGACTGATGCATTTCTGTACATACCATGCTCCTTAAATATATTTAAGTACTGCACTTAAACAAAAGAAAATATGAGGAACTTGGAGAAGGAAACGATCAAAAAGTGAAAGACACATACACAAATGCAAGCACAACAAAAATTATCATGATATATCATTCTGTTAAAGGCTGTCAACCTTTGCAAGTGTCATACTTCCTATGTATAATAGGATAATTTCATTTTTTTTCTCTTTCAACGGGATCAATACCAATATTCGATGGTCGGGTGCTGGTCAACGTTGACATTAATTATGCTATTTATGTTTATATGTTTCGCCAATTTCCCAGATTACAAACTTATAAAACGAACCAATAATTTGGAATCATTCGTCTACAACCTAATGAAATATCTTTGGGTTAATATATTTAATTTAACAGTGTTACGTTTTACTATTATTTTTAAATTAACATCACGGAAATTATCATGTCCTGGTGTACAGATCCATGTATTCATTTGAAAACGTTTCAATAAGCTTCATATACGTTATGGATGTGACACAAACCACTTACTTGCCACAAGAAAGGAAGTTTGTGAGAAACACCCCTCGGGTACATGGTAAGAACTTGTGTCTTTTACCGCCGCATGAAACGAAATCATTCGAATTTGTTTGCATAATACGTGCTATAAAACCATGAGAGTGACCAAGGTACATTGTTGTGCCCAAGAAATATTGAACACATCTTCGTATTCCAACACATTGATGAATGTTGAAAGTAGAGAAAAAGCAAGAAAAGGGAACTGGACAACAAAGGAATTGAGGAAAACCAAGCTGGAAACGTATTCATGAGAACTTATTCGACATTTTATGGCGGGCCATTGTTTTTGCTTATTCGGAACGAAACAGACGGAACAAGGAAGAAAACCAACATGAAAACCCACACAAATCAATAAAACTATTTCGTGTTCTATTCGTTTCTGTGGCCTCAAAAATAAAATGCATTTTTAGAAGAAAGGTGTTCGTTGATCATTTCCAAAAAGCTCATTCATCAGATTTATTCATGAAAAACGATGGACTTAAGAATGATATTTTGGATTATATGGAAATCATATTGACATAACATATGACCAATACTCAATTGGATGTTTCGAATATTTCAGAAGAACCGTGACACATTAATGAATATAGTGTTTAGTTGACATTCTGCTTTGAAGTACACGCCTTTACAATTTATTTTCTAAAGAATGGCCATGCAAGAACAAGCAAAGTCTTAAGAGTACCGCCTACCGTACACATGACAAACTACTTATTTCGACCGGCTTCTATGTGTCATCCGGCGACTGACGATATCGAATCGCAAATTGGTATCGCTTCAAGCAAACCAATGCACACCGATCACTCAAAGGAAATGTGGGTTACCGTCAAAAATTGCTGTTTACAATTATTTGAGGCTCTTTGTTTTGTTTCACCACGGATTTTCAGTTTAAATGCTTTGCTCAGTCCAGCTCAGTCCGGCTGAGTACAGAATAACTCTTCATGTTGTCCACGCATGACGTCCCAATCCTGATAAAGATGAAAATGAAGCCGAAGTGACCACACGAAACACGGCACAAATAATGTCGTCAACGATGACTTTTGGTGTTGTATTTCGTTCGGATGCACAGCAGACGCACTCAACCGGCTACAGTGTGCTTTGACAGCAACACGAAGACGAAACAAAAACATACAACGATAAACAAACTCGAAGAAAACCAAAAGTAATACCACATTGTGCAATTTTCTATCGGCATGTCATATTTATTTGTTTGCAAAAAAAATGAGCTTGAATGTTCACTTGAACATAGTTCATACTTCTTTCGAGAATGTCGAAAACTCCATAAAATTTATTATCAGTGATTGAGTTGGGCCTATTTCGTCATAAAAATCATACAAATCGATCTTGAATTCTGCGTAATAACCATCAAGATATCATAGCTGGAATATGAAAGTAAATCGTTAGATGCTAGCAGAAATGGGGCAGCTTTCATTTCACCGTCACTCCCAGCAGCAACGAATTCGACCGAAATCAATCCGCTCCAGAATATGCTCCGTGCATGAATAAAGTTTTTATTCGCTTGCCAAATTGCCGGAGTATCCAAAACGGCACCAATTATGCACATCCATTTAATCGTATGATGATATGCGGATCCGCTTGGTCTCCTTCCAAATAGTAGTATGACACCATTGTTTTTCCTCATGCGATAGCGTCACACATCCTAATAAATCTATTGATAACGATCGCATGTCTTACTGTGTGTATGCACTAATATCAAATCTCCATTTTCATTTCACATTGCGAAAAATGGCTTATGGCTCATGGCGCATGATAGCACATAACGTTTTATTACATCGTTCATCAAACTATTCGCTTCACTTATATCTTCGACGATAAAGTATTATTTGTTCTACTGTTCGCCGTTTTTTCTCCTTCTAAATGTTGCCGAAGTGGAAAATTGTTCATATTTCCAATTGGGAAGGGATTATTTCAAATCTCGTTCGATTTTTTTTTCAAATAGTGCATCTAGGAGTTTCTATTTCTTCTCAATTTAGAAAAAATTGCTTGTTTAGATCGTAAAATTTATGGATGTCCATTCAAACTGCCGCCAATTTCAGATTTCAGGGTTGAGATATGTTCATATCAATTGTACTTTGGGTGTCCATCAGTGTACCAAAGTTGAATACAAAGTGTCCCACGTTGGTTTTCCCATAATTTGTGGTTCAATTTTTGAGTAAATTCAATATACCGCACATATAAAATAAAAAAACAACCATTGATTCGGTTGGACTGTTCGGAATGATATAAGAGTACCATATAATTTCATTCAAATCGCACAAAGAAGCGGAGTGATGCGAATATTCTGTTTTTTTCACAAGTTTTTGACCGCATCCGTGCCAAGAATTGATCGGACGCATCTGATTCGAAGGAATTCAGTGTAATTTAGTTCCATCTCGTTTTGGTGGTAATAAATCCAGAGTTTGGCCATTTATCTTGGGTTTTCAATTTGGCTAATTTATTTGTTTTGGTTGTTGTTTTCGCCAAATTCGCTTTTTTTGGTTTTCTGTCACTGGAAATTCGGTGCCCGTAAATTGTCGAACCAGCAGTTAGTGTGTTAATCCAGAAATCTGGCTGAAAATGATTCGTAATACCAGTGGCATGGGCTCAATGCTTTTTCGTCGATTTTTATTCAATTATTCTCATCGAAATGCTATTTTCGAAGCGATTAATAAATAACGGTTTGGCTTTGGAAAGTTATTTAGCGAAAATGTGATGGAAAATTATGGCTTTTTTCGCAATCATGTGAACGGACGCACTATCCGAGATTAAATCAACCGGAAATTTATTGACCTCAAACGTTTTGAATTTATTATTGTGAAATTCATTATGCTCATGGATTACGTGTATTGAGTTCGCCTTTCGTGTGTGCGTGCATTTGATGTCAATTTATTTTGTAACACAATTTCTACGCCACTTCCGATGAATGGATGTGTGTGTGAAGACGTTGCAAAAAATCAATATTCATATAATGGACTTGTAGTGAAAAAATGATTGTATGTGCGTGTTCAGTAAGTGTACTGGTGTAAGTGAATTCGATATATTAATTCTAAATGCGCTATTTGTCTCAGAGCCTGAAGAAGAAAATAAATTATGTTTTGAATAGAAGTGCAATTTTCTCGCTTTCTTCGAAACTGTTCTATCACTTCAGCACTTGGGCTACCCATCTCTCATTTCTCTGCAATTTCCTTATCGACAACTAAAAACTGTCCAAACAAAATGCTTCTACGCTTCGGACGTTGTCGAACTTGTTGGTCGAAGAAAAAAACTAGAACAACAAACAAACGGAATGACAAATGATCGATGTCGGTATGTGTTGAAAGACGTATGTTTAACAAAGTCAAGCAAAAAATGCATTTGCTATCGCTAGTGTCTTTATGAGAGTCATATAATCATAAAATCGACACAATCATAAAAACCAAAGGAAAGTGAACGGGCTCGTACATTCACCAAAAATCGATTCGTCCTTCGAAACGGAGTGTCTGTCGCTCTGTGTTCAGATAGATCAAAGAATCTATTCTCGTTTTTTTCTCTCTATTAATTCCGATTCCACAAAATTTTCGGAATATTTCAATATTTTGAATCGTTCGAATCGTTCGAATCGAATTTTGCGTTCGAATCGGACTTTGGTTGCAGTTCAATAAATTTTGGAAAACACAAATCCAGAGATCTCTGAGTGAAACCATTGCTGTTCTGCAGGTGATCACTGAAATCTGGCCGATGTTTATGCATTTTAAGTGCATGCTGTTTTCAAATGGAACGTCCGCTTTTTTGAATGTGGTAAATCCGCTTCAGAATGAATAGGTATACCGATTGAAATTAGCCTGATCGAGCATACTTCCGAGCTACGTGTGAATTCAAGCAAAGGATAAAATGAACGTTTCTGGCGGAAGCCGTTTGATGTTTGAATTGCAGAATATTTATAACGATTGGCAAATGACATAGTGATTCAGTTGATCTTGCCTTTACTTAACGATTCAATCATATTGCACATATTGATGTGAGTGAATATGTAAGTAGGTATTTTATACTGCTGATGCATTTCGAATAATTTACCATCAATATAATTGAAGAAGATAAGCAAATAACGTTTAGCGTTAAGAGAAAAAGAAGAAGCTATTCAGATGCGCTACAACCGATACACATTCCAGCACAATAATATTTCCCCATAATCAATTGATTGAAATAATTGGGCCGAAATGGGTTCTGTTCATGCGCCCGATCGACCAATTTAAATTGTCATTAATCACACCAAATTAATTTGCTCTGTATCGTGGACATTGTT